GTGAAAGACAGATCAAAGAGAGAGGGGAAATACCTTTGAAGATCAGGTTTCAAAGCAGACTGAATCACAAGTGGGTTTTTTTTGGGTTCATATTTCTGTCCTTCTGTCCACATGTATCTTATGCTGTGATCAATTCACTGACTAATATCAGTAATACTACTCATACTACAAAGGGTACTGCTATGACTCCTAGTGATTCATCTACATGTCCCACGAATATTAATAATGACAATGATGAACATGGGAGATTGAATGTAATCAGTGCAGGAGTTAAAGGTGCAGAGTGGTTTTATGATTCTAATGTCAAATTTAAGTAATTCAAATTAGTGCTCTTTGGGATACTGTATGCCTACTCTTATATAAATAGCAAACCTACCTAGAAGTGCCAACATGATTTATGCTTTATGTGGAGTTCAGTTACACATCGCTCTGTGCTGTACTCCACCAGATGGAAAAAAACAAACAGTAGAAACTCAGCAGGCTTTCCCATCTAAATTTGGGAGCAGGACCTGAGACGGTAAATCTATAATGCAGATGTATACTGGGTCTAAGGCAAATGCCAAATGCAGCTGAGTTCAAAATGTATATGAAAGAGGCGGATTTCAATGCATTTTATCTGCATTTAGCTTTCAGCTTCTATATAATACACTGTGTTTAATATAATATTTTATCTAGAGTTATGCAGAATAAATAAATCAAACATTTTGGAAAATTCCCAAAACGCTACAGTCTGCATTACAGCCAACTGCACTCTAAAGGCTTCAGCTTTGATTTATTACATTTAAATTTTATTACACCATCAGTACTCTGCCATGGTTATTATTATAGCTCAGTAATGCAGGCACAGGCTAAAAGCATGAAGGCAGTTTTTTTTATTTCCTGCATCCCCTTAACGTCACTGTTGAGCAATGAGGTTTTAGACATTTTTTATATTTGCTTTTGTTCCTTCAAATAAAAATGTATTGCTTAAGTTCGTCTGCTGTCTTCAGGGGGGTGTTAGATAAGTCCTGACCACAGAGAACATCAGCTTTAGAAAAGCAGAAGTAATCCCATCAAAACTGGAAGTAAGACGCCCACCTCAGTCTGGTCTCACTACTTATTTTACGTCCCATCATGTACATTATTATGAAATGGTGACATGAACTTCTCAAAAACTGATGTGTTAATAACTTGACATTTGTGCTCTGAAGGAAACTTTACAAAGCCAGACAGTCAGTTTCTCAATCACAGTGACGGACTGAAGTCACAAGAATACAACATAAATGAGAGGTTTTTCTTTTAACAACCTTGTTGTTGACATTAAAAAGGAAAAGAAAACTTGGTTGTTTGGAAGCTTTAAAAGTTGATATAGTTTTTAGCTGTTTTCTTTTCTCCCCTGCCCTTTTTTAACATGACTATGATCCCTGTGATGAACAAATCATTAACAAAGGCAGCACAGTGGCTCATTTGTCAGCACCTCAATGCACAAAGACCCAGGGTTTGGACCTGAACTGGCTCACTGGGACTTTCTGTGAACAGTTTGCATCCTCACACAGTCCCACCTTGCTGGTGCTTGCTGTTGCTGCTGCTACATTTGATCAGCCAACAGGAGAATAATTGACCAAATCTGATTCCCTGACAATGTCAAGATGTTCTGTGTGACATGGAGCAGATAGATAAAGGAGACACTACATAGGCCATTAGCTAACACACAATACACTTTTCAGAAAATTCTCTTCTGCTACTGGCCTGTGAAACAGAATTAAATCCCCTTCAGGCTCTGTGTTTGTTACTGTGGTGTCTCTAAACTGGCTCACCTGGCAGATCTCGATCCTCACATGTCACCGGCAAGTTTGTGAACAGTGTTGGTTTTGTTAACCGCATCACTGTGAAGAAAAAGTGACATTGGTTAGTGACACGTAAGTTAGTTACCATGGGGATGTTTTCACACATTTGTGGTGATACAGTTTAGATACGCATATCATAGCCTCAGTAACTTCAGTCTTAGGCAGCAGCCACGCTGTCATGTGTCAGGAGCAGGTTTTCAATCCAGCACAAGTCGACAACAGGTCATTTTAATTATTAGTTTTTGCACTGGGTCTGAATGTGTCCCAGTCAGTAAAATTTATGGTAGGGCTGCAAATAACAATTATTTCAATATTGTTTGACTGATCTATTCATTTAAAAACCAACAAAAAATGGTAGTCCAAAATCCAAAGATACTCAGTTAACAATAACATTTAGACAAAAAATTATTACTTACAGTATTTCACCAGACATTACAAGAGTCTAAGACTATGACAAACTAATTATTTCTGATTTTCTCAAGCTGTCTTTGTAATTGGTTTAGGGCTGTAACTAACGAGTATTTTCATTATCAATTAATCAGTTGATTGTGTTATTGATTAATCAAGTAATTGTTCAGTCAAGGAAATGTCAGAAGACAGAAAAAAAAATGCCTGCCATGAGCTCCCAGAATGCAACGTGATATCTTCTTATTGCACGTTTTATCCGAGTATATTCAATTTACTCTGACATGAAACAGACAAGCAGGAAATAATCACACTCAAGCTGAAGTTTGCTTTTTTGCCTCAAAAAATGACCCTAAAGATAGCTGTTGTCTCATCGATTTATCGGTTAATGAACAAATACATTAGTTAGTCATTTCATGACAACTATGACAGCTCAAGGTAAACTTAACGGCAACTGATAAGAGCTTTGTGTATGATTTGGGGGTAGAACTGGATCTTGTAAACAAAAACAAAAACAACGTTAAATGGGCAGAAACTGAATAAACATTTTTTGCCAAGTGGCTGCCTGACACATAATCTGGCTGTCATCTTTGCTGACATTATGGTGTAATTCTTGCTCAAATATTCTGCTTCCACTTTCAGCTTTGAGGGTCAATAACGACAAGAAACGCACTCTTTTAAAGTTACAAGTGTCACAAACTTAATTGCACATTATCAAATGCAGACGTTTGATGCTAATAGCAGCATTAGCGCTATTAGCAGCTAACAGCAACAACAAATGACAACAACCTGCTACGGTGAAACATTAACGCGTCTTGTTTTACCCCTAAAAACAACCTCTGGAGTCACAATCTATATGCAGCTGCCATGACTTTAAGATACCTTTTAATGCGAGTAGGTGTTCCTGTTTGGCCTGAGTTACATCCATTTTGACAGAGACAACTGTCTTATCGGGGAGATGTTAGCTACCGTGCTAGCTGGTGCACTTTAAACCCTTTTCTTCTTCGTTTTTTAATTAGAGACGCCCCCGAGATGCAATACTGCCTCCTAGAGCCCGTGATGTGTGTTACAAATAAATCTTCCTCCACATTTATCTTTTATAATAATAATAATAATAATAACTAGAGAAATTTTGAATGTGCCTGCTGCTTGGTGCGTGTACTTAAAGACGTTACTTTCAGTTTAATTCATGTCGTAGAGACTCATCCTGACACTGACCTCAGTCACTGCAGGTGTCCCTCAAAGAGGCTTTTGAAGCTGTCACGACTGGCTAAAATAACCTCACACTGATGGTTTCGAAACACAAATGTGTCCCCACAACCACTGCAAGACATATATACACACATGTACATGGCCTAACAGAAGTTGATCTGCAATAAAGCTGTACCTCTATATCCCCATATAGACTCTTATTTTGAAAGTGTCTGTGCTTCTGTTTTTGGCAGTATAAATTGTATAAGGTTTTGTACAACAGAGCCAATAATTTCCCCTTATCATGTTAAGACTTTTATTTTTAAGGTTAATCAAACTTACCATTTATTGTTGAACTGTCCAGTATGAACTGCTGAGTACCTGAATTTATATAGCCCTAGAATTTAAAAGAGCTAATGGGTCTTTATAAGCTGATGAAATTATGTCAACCCATCAAACAGGTAGTTTAAAGATGACCTTGACTGTCTAGTAGTAGGTGGAAATGTTGCAACTTTCTCTGCATATGAGTTATTTACCATTATTATTGTTGGAATTTAATTTGTCACTGCATGTTTATTTGCTTCTCACAACCCCCTGAATCTAGATGTTTCACTTCACTGGCATCTAGTGGTGTGGGTCTGTATTACGTTGTGGTACAACCTCACAGCACCTTAGTTCATCGGTGTAACAACAGAAGTGACTTATGTAATTAATAATGACAACTAAAGTGACACTGCTGAGACTTCCAAACACATATACATTCTTTATAAAATACTGCACTACTGACCCTGATTAGAGTCCTCTTCTGGAGGCCAGTGACAGCAATGACCATGTCTTACAGGAGAGTCAAGTATGAAACATCCTCATCAGAGCCGAGTTTAACACAGTGGATTTGTAGCTTGACCTCAGTTTGATTTAAAGTGTGTAAAGTTATGGTGTTGGAGATAATTGGCCTCTTGAATAAATAATTAAATCAGGATCCAGAAAGCTCAAGCAGGAACTGTGATGTTACAGTAGTTAGTTTAGAAGTAAAATATGGTATAAAATTGAAATACCTAAGTAAAGTAAGTAAATGTACTTGGTTGCTTGTTATTGCTGAATGTGGCTGGTAAATAGAGTTGGTCCTTCCTCTATAATTCCATCACAGTACAGGTGATGAGGATCGGAAAATGTCTGATACCTACAATAACCTCCATCGTCTCCGATGCTACTATCAGCTCGCCAGAACACCTTCATCTGTCGGCTCATTTCACAGTTTGACAAGCAGGAGGTCAGGCTTGACTGTACCCACTGATTGCTACATGACTGTACAACACCAACGCCATAAACAGCTGCAGAAAAACTATAAGCTGCAGGTTAATTCAGAGATCATCTGAGACATCACTGGAAATGTACGGGCCATATAATTCTCCCTACTCTTCATTATATCGTTGGTCACTACAGAGACGCCAATAGCAAACAGAGACAGAGAATATACTGCACTTTTTTAGTAGATATCATGATTTCAGCCCGTCTCTTCAAATGCTTCTTCATACAAATTCAAGGCAGTAACACAGTTTAGCTTCAGCTTGTGCAGAAGCAGCAATCTAGTTTATTCATTGAAAATTTGAAAATAAAAACAATCATTTTAACTGTTGTAGGTTAGATCTCTTTAGGGTCAGTTTATTACATCATTTTCCAGTCGTTTATATTGTTTCAACCTCTATAACCGAAACCTTATAGTAGTTGTAGTCGAGTATTTAACATTAGAGATATTTTCCATTTCGTGAAGCTGAGTGATGATGGTACGGGCGATAATACCCAAAGTCAAAAGGATATAAACTTGTACTATTTATTAAATAATATTAACTTCACTCTGTGTAAGAAAAAGAACATGGGTCCATCAAATGGTGCTTTAACACACAATAGATCTTTATAAGCAACTTTAAAGAACAACTATTAAAAATACATCTACTATCCTGCAAACTACAAGAACTTTAGAAATACTGTTAAATACAGTCATTCAATTCAAGTTACAGAAAAAGATTATTTATCATACATTCAACAAAAACACTGAACAACACTGTTTCCTTATTCTCTGTTAATGTTAATCAGTGAAATTAAATACCATTTTAATTTGGTTGGAATGAAAACCTGCAGCTCTCCATGGCACATTCAGTGCAGCCATTATTTTTCATGTGCTGTCTTCACTGAGCAGAAGCTGCAATTAAAATGACATTTAGATTATTATCTCATGCAGAAAGTTAAAATACAGATGAAGCAACGATGACAACTTGAAATAAACGAATACATGCTGATTAACACAATAATGGTGAAATGGCATCCATATCTAACACTGTGTTTTTCTCTTTAGATGGTACTGATCTACAGTAACACGATGTCCACTATCATCCATACTCACATGAACTCCTTCACCCTCTGTTTCTGGCCTCTGCCATTTGTTTATGGATAAGATTCCAAAGACGACCAACCCAAAGGCCACAATGAGGAGGCCGAGGGAATTCGCAAACTTTGCTTCCACAGGCAGCGAGCTGTACGGCTCTCCGCTGCTTCCATTACTGCAGACAGAGAAACAGAGAAATGCAGTTAGGAAATTCAGTTTTTTAATGCATGGATAAGTTTCTGGCACACTGCTTTACAGTGCAACGACACTGTTTTCCCAGTTGAAATGAAAGACGACAATGTGTTGTCACCAGTTGCATATTTGAGCACTCACAGCGCGAGCAGCAGTTTCTCATTGATGCCACTGATACATGAGGTCAGACTCAGGATCAAGATTGCTTTCCCCACCCAGACATGGACAGGTTTCAGGTTGCGTCGGAACCACAGCGAAGAACAAGGGAACAAGAAACCAGCCAAGCCGAGGATCCACTATCCATCAGCACGGGGGAATGACAAGAAGGGAAAGTGTTTTTCTATAACAGTGTCAGCGCTTTGTGTTCAGCAATACGTTCAATAACGTCAATTAACGGTGTGTAAATATCTGTCATGCATACCTGAAATGCAAACAGCGCTACAGTGCAGATGCCCACCCAGCTGTGCAGAGAGTACAGGTCGTTGATGTGGAAGCCTCTGTGGAAGTCGAACACGGCGCACAGGCCCAGGACGGACACAAGCAGAGACAAAAGCATCAGTCCGGCGTGCACCAGCTTCCAGGTGTACTTCCTCTGCCTCCAGGTGAACGGCACGCGATACACAACAGCCGCTGCAGATGCACACACAGGCAGAGACGGTTGAGAGATACAGTCTGTCTTGTTCTGCTTTTAATCTCAATTCCTGAATATTATTACAACTTATTGTTGTTGTCATTTAAGGATGAAATCGAGAAGTCCTGATATTTCCACTTACAATTTACATTCAAGCTGATGCATTCATGCAGTGAAAAACGTAATGAGTTCATTGTCTGCATAGATTCACTTCAGTTTCCCGGGTATCATGACGTCTAATTAAAATAATAACAAAATCCAGAGTGAAAATACTTCTGTCAGCTGCAGCGAAAAATAATCATCAACCTGCTGGATCTCGCTTTTCATTCACAATTGTTTTTAGTACAATATGTTTGTACACTATTGATACACCCCTGCACACAAATTGCATACATAAAATGCACTGAAATATAGGTGTAAATATAGGTTGAAGGGGCGTTTTAAACTCACAAGAGATAGATGATCAAGATCAATACTGCAGAAGCTGAGGCACTTCCAGTCAAACAGCACAAACACTGGATCCTCCAATTCCCATAATCCAACACAGTGCCGTCTTTTGTTAGACTCACCCTGCCTGGCAAATGCCCACACATTTCAAACCTCCACACCTCTAATATGTCACGCAGGCTTTTTGTTCAAAATTTGAAAGGCTCACAACCCAGTCCAAGAAAACACTGCCGGCCTCGCTGTATCAACACAGTTGTTTTCTCAGACTTTGGAAATCTCCCCTCAGAGCCACAGAGGACATTAAAGAGCTGCTTCCACAGAAAACCTCTCTTTTCCTTTTCCTTACAGCTCAACAGCATCACAGACTCCATCCTCCAAAAAACACCTCTCTAAAGCAGTTCCAACTAAAACTGAACATCAGAACTTCCATGGCAGAGGATTCTTTATCATCACACTGCGTTCACATCAGGCAGGTGTTCCTAATAAAACTGGTTAACTGAGTGTGTTTACTTACCATTTCCATACAGAACGACCAGCCCGGACACCATGAGCACGGGGTGCCAGTTGAACTGCAGGGCAGAACCGTCCCAGGAGAAGCCCCCTCTCCAGCGTGAGCTCCAGCAGATCACAAACAGCACACAGAGCAGGGACAAGCACAGACACAGGGTGTAGGTGAGGTAGAAAAACACAGACGACCTCATATCTGTGTGTTTACTTAGCCGACACATCGTCCATCAGGAATTGTTTCTGATCTTAAATAAGTCTGGTGGTTAAAGGAGGGGAGGTCTAGAAGGACGGGACAAGGAAACAATTTTCCCTGCTTTGTCCTGCTCAGTGTTGTGTATTAGTCATAGTTATCAGCTAAAAGCAGATTGCAGGTTTCATAACTTCACTCACTTTTTGCTGGGTCACGTTGATTCGCCATGGACCGTGGATTTCATGTTTATTACACAACAAGCCGACTGCAGCATAAAAGTCATAATAAGACAGATTTATGGAGCACATCCTCCTTAGGTTCCAAAATTGAGTCAATACTTTCACACGATGTTCAAAGGCAAAAGTTATGGTTCAACTTTAGCTCATTTTATGACTCAACTATATAGTGGAAGAGATAAAAACATAAAACATAAAGCATTTAAAAAAAACATTCAGCATGACAATGACTTAGAGATGAAGCGAACATGATCAGATATGTGACCTCTAACTTGTACTTGTTGACGGACTAAGGTGTTACGAAGATGTTTGTTTTTTGTTTTATTTTTCCTTTTCTTTTTCAAAGGAACCATGTGAGTGACAGAGACCCGTTAGCATGTCATCTAATTTGGTACAGGCCTCCAGTACGAATAAAGGCCCCACAGTTTCGTGACAATCCTGAGATCTGGGTGAAGGCAGATGATCACACAGGGCCAGTCACGCAAGGAGAGTCACGCCAAATGAATGTGTAATCTCATTTTACTTTGTAATGACAAATGCAAAAAGCAGGAAGACCGTGAAGCTGAGAGACCATTTTATTGCAGCCATCGTCAGAGAGACGTCATGTTAACAGCAGTAAGGAAATATTCAAGTGACAATGACATAATGCAATTTTCCACTTTTATCATTCGCCTGAACACCTGGACAAAGGTGTCACTCTACACGTCGTACAGCAGCACAGTGACTGGAGCACTCAGCGCCATGTTGTGTATGATTTGCTTGGAGCAAATGTTTTCGTCGTCTTCGTTCTCCACAAAGATGGACACGAAGTGCTGAGCCTCCCAGGGCACTGCCTGGGTCTGCGAGGCCAGCACGCGGATGCAGTCGATGTCCTTCCTGAAGATGAACTTCTTGTCCTGGGGAAGCACGGACGAGATCTTCTCATCGCCTCCAGACTCGGAGGCGATGAAGGCGTCAACCTCCAGAGCTTTCTCTGTGACGAACACTCGGACGTTCCTCTTGCTGTAGTTGCTCAGCTGGCACGCCGTGCTGGTGTTTCCCATGTTGTTGTTTATGTCTGGTGTGATTGGTCGGGACTGCGGGGCGCGCTGGAGGCTGTAGTTTAAAAAAAAACAAAACAGATATTCTGCATAACCTGGATTCAAATCTGTGCATTAATTACATTTTCTTATGTGACCCACCTACACACCTTTAATACTTATATATATTTATAATATTCTCTCTAAATTGCATCATTCTTTGTTGCACACTAGCCTTTATGCACAGCCTGAAGAGCATGCTACCTGCATATTGATTGATTGATTGATTGATATCTATGTATTTACTGCCGTGGCTGTTTTTAAGGCAAAATTCTGACATTATCAATATAAAGTAAAATAACTTTTCCTTTCTGGTGAAGAGAAATATGTACATAAGCATGTTTCTTAAACTTTCACAGCATATGTTCCAAGTCTAAAGAAAGAGTCAAATAAGCAACGTTTTCTTCTCCACATGCAAGAAAACACACGTCACTCATTTCTATTTACACACATCAGTTAACAAAACAGGTAAAGTTACTATTTTAATCTCTATTTATTGCGGATTAAAGACGGGCTTACCTGCTGACACGACGAAGGCAGAGTGACAATAACGCACTGTGGCTCTCTCCCTCATCTGAGCAAGTGTCTGTTTTATGGGCAAAGTCTGATAACATGCAAAAAGTTTGAGCCCAGCCGCAGCACAGGGCAATAAACTGCGTGCACCAGCTTCATAAGACCAAGCCATTTTATACTTTCATGTTGCACACAGACGCCTGTGAAGAGATTAAAAGAGTTATTGTTAATATTATTTATTGATCAATGTTTGCTGCATACTTTGAGGATATTTATGTTGTGTATGAGACATGTTGTTTTATCCTATTTTAGGGACAGACTTTACAGATGTAAAGTTTTTTAGCATCTTGAAAGTTTTCTCTCACTCTGAGCTCTGTGTTTCTGTACTGTTGGGGGTTTTTGCTGGAATGGAATTAGAAATACATAACCAGATTCATTTAAAGTGGAGAAGCTACACACCTCATTACGTTCTCCTATAAGGTTTAGCACTGTGAGAGTGAAGTGAGTGAAGCCTCTCTGTAATTACAGCACCTTGTTATATAGAGCCGAGCTGTAATTTGCTGCCTGGTTTGCATATACAAAGTGGAACAATGTAGTAAAGATAAAAAAAAACATTGCTGTCAGGTTTGTGCTGCACTTATTCTCAGCACAATGAGGATGTGGCTGCTGCTGCTGCTGCTGCTGACGTCCCTGCTCGTCCCTGGGCTCAGGCCCCTGGGAGACGGGGACGGGGTCGTGGGTCACTACTACAGCTGGAGTTTGTGCAGAGAACTGCTCCTCAGCGGACGGATGACTCCCGGAGGACCAGGGAAACTTCTGAACCAAGCTGAGCCTCACTGCGTGTGCATCCAGAGAAGCTGCGTGTATGTTGCTGTGCACAAACTAAGGACCTCCCCCTTCTACTTGGCATATGCAGTAGACGATGACAACGGGCACAGTCTGTCTCATCAGGATGTGACAGAAATAATCCACAGGATTCATATTCCAACAGTGGTATGCCTGTTTCAGTCAATACCGATGTGAATCTGTGGCTTTTTGTTCCCACTGATGTTTTTCTCTCTACAGGTGTTTCCTGGTAACTACTGCCACTATAATCCATATCTTCCATGAGCTGTTATCTATCAACATATTGTTTATTTTTATCTTCTGACATGTTCTCCGTTTTGCTGCTCTCTGCTGCACGCATGAAATATCAGCGTACCGGGTGGGATTGTTACAGTTGGCAAGCGTCCCCCAAAATTACACATCTAAAAGCATGAAGCCGATGATTGCACAAACAGCAGCAACCTGGTTTATTTTCCCACTAATTTCACACCGCTGATACCAAGAATATCTGACACGCAGCACATTTCGGCACCTGTTTAGAATATTCATGAGGCAGAAAAGCATTTTCAAGTAGTTTTTTCCAGCTAATGCTTTAAACTCGGCGAGAGAAACTTCACCGTGAGACTCCCTCTACGTATTCATTTGAGATGTGAGGAAGAAAAACCTGAGCTGCTGTCAAGTAGAGTACTAAAAATGAAAAGCAGAGTAATATTTCCTTATGGTTACACAGACATAAAAATAGAGTTACTAGAAACAGTGCAACAGCTGTGGAATGTGAACTAATCCCTTTAAGACTAATCTCCTCTCTATTGGCCCAGATAACAATGAATGTTCTGCATGGTCACTGTTCTGTGTGTGTGTGTGTGTGTGTGTGTGTGTGTGTGTGTGTGTGTGTGTGTGTGTGTGTGTGTGTGTGTGGTGTATTCATGTGCTCAGAGGACCACATGCCATTATGGTAAAGAGACCAGGCCGAGCATGGAGAGAAACATTCAAAAAAGAGCCATTAAAAGTTAACAATTTGCTGGCGGCTCTGTGAGGCTGCACAGAGCTAACTACTAGCATCGCTTTCAATGACAATGCTAACATGTAGATGTTTAGCAAGTAATGCTAACCATTCTCACTGTCTTAGGTTTTCCAACCCTCCAATAGGAATTTCAGTCTAGACCAGTGGTTCCTAACCTGTGAGTAAAGGTTTTATAAGTGAGTTAAATCATTCGCAAAACAGTGCAATTTTGGTGAAAAGATTTAATTATAAAAAAGATATATGTATATTTAGATTAGATATATAAATGTAGATATATATATATTTAAATGTTAAAACAAAATTATCTTTAAAAAATGTTGAAACTCCTTTCATTGTTTTGGTTTTTTCTTTAAGCCTGTGATAAGCTAATGATGGAAACTTTTATGTTGCTGCCACCGGACTACATTGGAAACTTGTTCGCTATCTCAGGCTGACTGCGCGATAAGAGATGACATCCATGGCAAAAACTTGGCGCATCTGAATGGAAAGCTGGTTAGCAACAGGAAGAATTAAAAGGAAAAGAGTCTGGTAGGCGTTTTCTGTCTAATTCTATCTTCCTCTCTTGTCGTTCCAGGTTGTTTCTCTTCATGCAGAGAGGAAAAGTCTCCCTTTATCTCTGAAGTCAGATACTCTGCTAGCGATGCATGCTATTAGCAGAGCCACGCCAACTAAGCCTGGAGGTGAAGTCAGTCATTTTGCCATGGATATAATTAAAGATCGCCCTGACTCAAGGTCTGCATGGGTCCTGCATCATCACACAGTTCCCTCAGACACAAACCTTCAGGCTTTCTTACTGCAGAAACCTGAGAGCAGGACACCAGCCACCACTGTTCAACAGCGGAAAGCGACGCCAAAGAGATACTGTGCTGCTACAGCTGTGGTTATTTCCTGTTGTCTTAAAGAGGGTGACATAAAACCAGCAATGAACATTAAAGAAATATCAGAAGAAGAGATCGCAGGAGCACAAATAAGGCAAAAAGACAGCACACAGCGAGCGATGGACATTAAAGTTCTCAGGCAGTATGATGGACAGTCTTCAAATGCTTTAGTCGATCAACGTGACATTGTCCAAACTGCTGCTCTGCGCTCTGGCAGCTCTTCCGTGAAAGCTTCAGATACATCACAATTAGAGACACAAAGAAGTGAAGCCAGTTTTATGAAGAAAAATGAACATTTGAAGCCGATTACAGACTCAACTTTGCAAGAAAGTCTTCAAAAACAGCTTTCTTTAAAAGCTGCTTCTAGTGTTGACAGTGATGATGATGATGATGATGATGGATTTCACATTAAGAGGCAGCTCTTGTTGGTATCCAGAGAGAAGAGAGACTCCATAAATAGGCCACAGTCTAAGCTGAGGGCCACTCAGGATGATAATAAAGAAGATTTCAGCGGGAGGATAATCACAAAACAAGCAGAGCTTCGGCGCCCAGAGGCAGGAAGCGAAACTGAGGGATCACATACAAATACTGTTGAAAATGGAAACCAGAAAAGATTAGCACACATCCTACAAACAGGCTCTACGAATCAAACAGATAGTA